ACAGCGCAAAGTGTTCGCATAAGCAATTGAATGAGAGAGTTGCAACAAACAGCTGCAATATTGGCATGTGGCATGAGATGGGCCCTGGTTGCGAGGCAAAACAAATTCCAACTATAATTTCATACCAACTATAATTCACAAAAAAGAAAACATGGTAATTAATAAAAGAGAAGCAGAGGATGAAATGAGAATGAAATTAATAAATTGCTAGCATTATCAAAATTATGCGTTTTCCCTAGCTAGCTTAAGTTTGTCTTTTCTGTCTGCATAACAGTAATCTCATACTGCTCAACTTCTATATAAACACAGCCACCACATCTTTTAGCTATCTAAAACTAAAGCAAGCCCTCACACACACAAACACACACCTTTGCCTCTCTCTCTCTCATTTCTATCCACATTACCCTAAAATGAGCGAGTTTAGCTTCAGAAGCCTCACATTCATGCTTTTAATTGCCCTTCTGGTTTGGTCATCTAATTTTGAAGCTTGCATGGCCAGAAGAGGCAGGCATTGGAGGCAGAGCAGAGCTGCCTCTGCTTCTTCTCTTTCAAAGAAAAAAGGAAAAAGCAGTCATGGCGGCGGCGGCAGCAGTCACCACAATAGTGGTGGTAGCAGTGGATCAAAACCCAAGTCCCCATCTCATAACAAGGCGCCATCTCCACCTCATAACAAGGCGCCATCTCCATCTCACAAGAAGGCGCCATCTCCACCTCAGCTCCCTAAGCCAAGAGATGACACTCCACAAAAAGGCTCTTCCTCTTTCAATGTGCTGGATTTTGGTGCAAAAGGAGATGGAAGTACCGACGACACAAAGGTTTGTTAATTCATATGTGCTGTGTCTCTCATCATAATTTTTTATCTGTTTCTTAATTAAGAACTAATTAATCATGATCAAGGGTTAATTGAAAATGTTGCTCTTTTGAGCTCATGATTGTCCATGAAAACGACTAGAAATTCCAACATGTAGAAGGATATCTATCTGTGACTCTGTGAGTGAGGCAATTGACAGGTAGTAATGAAAAAAGCAGCCAATTAATCATTGAGAGAAACAAATAGTTATTTTGGTAAACTTTATGCCTTTTGGATCAGTTGCACGTGATTGTTTTGGGTTGATAACTATAAACGACATGCGTCGGGTTAGATAGTCATTTTGCCCAAATTATCGTTAAGAAGCATTGTGGTCAATTTAATTAATTTTTATTGGTTTCATTAATCATTAATTAATGGGAGAGAATTTCTTGAACAACCGAATAATTTTGTTTTTAACTTTAGTAGTGGTAGGAGAAAATGTAAGGTGTACAAAACTTACAGGCGAGCACAAATTATAATACCAGAAGAGGTTAAAGAGCAGAGACAACAGAACAGGCCAAACTGGGTGGGGCCCTTGGGCCCACTGAATAAATTTATATTCTCGTTACGGCAGTTGGGGTCACGAAAGATGATTCCAAAAATAGTTGTAAACAGTTGTACTTTAGTCTAATAGTTTATATCCTGGATTCAAGCGTGAATTTATATACTATTTCCCCCTCTTAATAAGAAAGATTTAACATAATAATAATAATAATAATATAATAAGATTTAAAATCACTTATTGTTACATAGTATAACGAAGATATTTTTGCTATGGTGGAACGCGCAGGCTTTCCAAGCTGCGTGGGCTGCTGCTTGTAAAGTTGAGGCATCACAGATCATTGTTCCAGCCGCATACAAGTTCCTTGTGGGGCCCATCTCCTTCTCTGGCCCGTACTGCCAACCAAACATCCTATTTCAGGTAAAAACCAATTAATGACTCCATCCCGTATGGACGACTGTTGTTAGCATTTACCTAATTATCATTTCCGTTAAGACTGATGAGACGAATTATTAATTTCTCAGTTGGATGGCACAATCATAGCTCCAACAGACCCCAAATCCTGGGGTAAAGGTCTGCTGCAATGGCTTGAATTTACAAAGCTGAGAGGAATAACAGTTCAGGGGAAGGGTTTAATTGATGGAAGAGGCTCATCTTGGTGGCAGGACACTCCCTATGGAGACCCTATAGATGATGATTTCAAGCTCATTGTGCCACTAAACAGCACAGCCCAACAACACCCGCCAATGCCGGTACTAAAACTAAACTTAAGATTGTCCATTCTAATTTATGCATTAAATCTCTTTGATCATCCAGCTTAAAACTGATCATCATTCTGTGGCTCAAATTCTGCGGCAGATAAGAAGCGAGCTGAGTGGGAAAATGCCAAGCATCAAACCCACGGTAAGGACCACTTGGGTGTCAGAAACTTGAAGCTGATATGATCTTTGAGTCTTGACCATGCAGCTTCAGTAACATGATTGTTGTATTTTTTTGTGGATTTTTCACAGGCACTGAGGTTTTATGGAAGTTTTAATGTGACAGTCACGGGGATAACAATTCAGAATAGCCCCCAATGCCACCTCAAGTTTGACAACTGCGCGGGAGTGTTGGTCCATGACATGAGCGTCTCGTCCCCTGGCAACAGCCCCAACACAGATGGAATTCACCTGCAAAACTCCAAACAAGTGCTCATCCACACCACCAATCTTGCTTGTGGTAACTACAATCCTTACTCTATAATATCTAGTCTTGGCAGTGCAATGTATCGGACTCTTGTAAATACTTTGTTAATTAGATATTGATACGTTAAATACATAAGTAAAACCTGCAGAATTATGGTGTTAGCTAGTAGATGATTTGAGAAATTTCATGTTCAATCTTATCCCGCCTGCAGCCTTATGCATGGTTGTTTGCATCTATCAACAATCCCCTACCACTAGGAGTTTGACACATGGCAACAGGCAATCTACTACATTCCAAGAATTATACCCAACCTATTATATGATGATGCATTTCACACCCTTAAAACATCAGCGCGCTATCCAATGTAGGATTAGGTTTCAAACCCCACTGACAACTCTTGTTCTGTAGTACCCCCGAGCCTCAAATCAATATTTTGTCTTCATCAGATGTTAGAACTACTACCAAATTCCCCTGCCCTTCTGTCGAGTTCAGCTTAAATAAGGGACCACATACAACAAAGAAGAGATAAGAAACTCGCATGTTTCAAGTATAGCACTTCACATCACACTTTTGAGCAGTAATATTGATCATTCGTATAAACCTAACTATAAACTGAAATTTGTACATAAACGTTGCAGACAACACATGAAATTGGGACCGAACTGAAGGCAAAGTCAATTAGTATAACATGGATAAAAATGATGATCATAAGACAGGTTTACTCGTCAAGTATAACTAAGCTAAAGGCTCTTTCATTCTAAATTATTTGTGCAGGAGATGACTGTATTTCCATACAAACGGGGTGCTCAGATGTGTACGTACACAATGTGAATTGTGGACCTGGGCATGGAATCAGCATCGGAAGTTTAGGAAGGGATAACACCAAAGCCTGTGTCTCAAACATTACCGTTCGAGACATCATCATGCACAACACGATGAATGGTGTCAGAGTCAAGACATGGCAGGTATGGATACCCTCTGCAATTCCTATATGATTTTGGAACTTACCAAGTAATGAAATAAGACTGGTCCAGAATATGGTAAATGAGCCATGACAAAATAGCATCCATCGCCAAGTACAACACTTCTATTTTTAAGCAGAGCCAAGATTTAAACCCTTCATGGCTTGTTTAATGCCTCATTCAGGAACTAAACATACAAGTCAATAAAAATTTAAATTTAAAACCTCCTGAGTATGAGTCATTTTAGACTTTCACATTTCAAACATAGAACTCTCTTCTACATAAAGGCTTTCAGAATTCAAAATAGTCTTAAGAGAAAGAAGAAAACAGAGATACTATTTGATTTCTTCCAAGAATAAAATAATTAAATGTTGAACTTGGAATACAATCTCAGTAATCCATACACCTCCAGCTAGATCCCAATGCTAAAAATGAGTCAGTCGACTCTTAAAGAATTGTGTTCTTCATGAACTAAATATTGGTTCTTCCAAAACCTCAAATTAGTTACTAATGCTTGACAATTTACCTTTTCATTTTACATATATCTGATTCAATTCTAAATCTGCAGGGTGGATCAGGCTCTGTTCAGGGAGTGCTGTTCTCAAACATTCAAGTTTCTGAAGTTCAACTTCCTATTGTGATTGACCAATTCTATTGTGACAAAAGCCAATGCAAAAACCAAACTTCCGCTGTGGCTCTATCGGGGATCACCTATGAGAGAATAAGAGGGACATACACCGTAAAACCTGTACACTTTGCCTGTAGTGACAGCCTACCCTGTGTAGATGTAACACTAAATGGCATAGAGCTGAAGCCAGTGCAAGAGCAGTATCACATGTATGAACCCTTCTGCTGGCAGACATTTGGAGAGTTAAGAACCCCAACTGTCCCACCCATTGCTTGCTTACAGATTGGCAAGCCATCAAGCAACCGAGTGAATTCAGATCATGATGTATGTTGAGATCATTTTAGTACTAAGTATATATATATATTTATATAAGATGATGATGGTGCATTCGCTTTGTGTGGTCGGCATGATTTCCTGACCCCTTTCACACCATCAGTTTGTTTGCTCTATAGTGTGTATAATTTGGCAGTCCTAGTTTACAGGAATTCTTCTTTATAAGAGGCTTACATTTATTTCCCATTGTGATTACAAGAGAACATACGAGGAGGAAGGCGTGTTCTGGAACAATTTCTATATAAATCATGTATGACATTTTCATCAAAAAACAAAAAATACAGAACTTGCATGAATTGCCTACAGCTCAAAAAGCTAGCAAATTCAATAAGCACCATAACACCAGAACATACATAGTTGTAAACTAAGAAAGAAGAAACCCAGAAGAAAATTCATTCTAAAGATTTAAGCTTTAACAAATTAGGGACTGAAATATAATATAAAGCAGCAATTAAGAAAGCAACAAGGTTAATGATTCATTTCATTTTATAATTAGCACAATGGAAGCATCAGAAACCCATCAATGCAAGTTTACAATTTGCTTCACCACATGATCCGAACAAAATTTTCACATGAAGTTTGAAAACGTACCGTTTTCGTCTTTTCCCGGGATTCCGATTTCTGAAATCTGAATGCACACACCTTGCTTGCAAATTGCAATTGGTTCCAATTTTAGGTCGTGGCGCACCAAAACGACGCCGCATTCTCTACCAGGTTTAGTGAAAAACATCCAAACGCACCGTTCTGTTGTACGCGCCTTATCTTCTTTATCCAATCCAAAAGGCTCATCTTCAACCTCTCCCTAGTCTCCAAGTCCTGAACTTTACTCAACAACAGCTCCAATTCGGAAGTGTGATCTTTTCCCAGTTTTCCATCAATGGCTGAAAGTTCAGAGAAGGACCTCATGACCACCATGACTAGGAGAGTGGCCTCCATCGCTAACCATCTCAGACCTGTCCATTCACCTCCCAACTGCATCTCAATTTCTTTATCCAATGCTTCCATGAACGACAGCTACCACCGGACTCACGGCGAAGTCTCCACCCACCAAGTTGTTTGGGAAAATGTTCGTGACGATTCCGGAGAGGCCTTCACCGACATAGTCTACGAGAAGGCCGTCGGCGAAGCCATAGCAAAGGTCAGGCTCCTCAGGTTGGTTTTGATTAATTAATACTAATTATTGATTAGTTTGATATGGACATTATGAGATTTGATATGTCACTAAATCTCGCGTTTTTTGTTTGTAGATTACGATTAATCGGCCGGAGAGAAGAAATGCTTTCCGGCCTCAGACAGTTAAGGAGCTCATTCGCGCGTTTAACGATGCCAGGGACGATGGTTCCATAGGCGTCATCATTCTTACTGGGAAGGTACCTCCTTCACGTCAAAACTTGAGTAAGGAAATGCATTGTGGATGTAAAAGGAGATAAATTTTTTTGGGGTTTGATTATGCTGTATGTAGCTAATAATTTGATGCACATATGTCAATTTTGCACTTTGTTTTGTTGGTACTTTTGATATATTTAGGGAACCAAGGCATTCTGTAGTGGGGGTGATCAGGCTTTGAGAGGCAAAGATGGTTATGCTGATTATGAAGATTTTGGTCGTCTTAATGTTCTAGATTTGCAGGTAAAAGAAATATTTTGGACCTTTTAAGTTTAGGCAGTGAACTAGCATTTGTTCTTCCGCCATATAAATCATCTCAATTTGCTATGTTTAGGTCCAGATTCGTCGTCTTCCGAAACCAGTAATAGCCATGGTATGCCCTTTTGAACCCACATTGCAAGTTTAGGCCTTTGTTGTTGTTGGACAGTTGGGGAGCTGTGAAGCAAAAATATTGCTGGTTGTCGAAAACTTTGCCAGCACCCCAAATTAGTGAACTATATCATTAACCCTTGTTTGTATTAAATGGGTTATCAGGTGGCTGGTTATGCTGTTGGGGGAGGGCATATATTGCACATGGTCTGTGATCTTACCATTGCAGCAGACAATGCTATTTTTGGCCAAACTGGTCCTAAGGTACTCACTTTATCATGTTCCTTAAATCTGGTTTTTCACAAGTAAAGTTTTGGTCAGGGTGCTACAAGAACTTATTGAACTTGGCATACTTGCTTTTTGATCACCATCAATCTTTCATCTTCCTTTCATCTTCAATCTAGAGAATGGGTAAGAGCAGCATGCTAACAGAATATAAAACCTCCCTAACTTGTACATTTGACAGGTTGGAAGCTTCGACGCTGGTTGTGGGAGTTCCATCATGTCCCGTTTGGTAAGCATTGAAGTTGACTTCTGTTCTGAAATTACTTGTGTCAAATTACTCTAACTTGATATGCGGTGGAGTTCCTTTAATGAATAGTTTTGGTCAATTAGGTTGGGCCTAAAAAAGCACGGGAAATGTGGTTTCTGACAAGGTTTTACACAGCTGCTGAAGCTGAGAAAATGGGACTTGTTAACACTGTTGTACCGGTAAGTTCACTCTCAATGTGACAGAACCTGATTGTTGATAGTGTATGTCTTTTGTACTATGAATTTGAATGTACATGGCATCTTCCCGGAAAGGTAGCCTTATTTCATAAGAGAGAAAGCAAATATCATGTTAATTTTCAATCAAAGTTTGTAACTCTGTACAAGATAGCATTTTCATTGTTCTATACTACTATCCAGCTAGAGAGTTTAGAGCAAGAAACGGTTAAATGGTGTAGAGAAATCCTAAGAAACAGCCCGACTGCAATTCGAGTGCTGAAATCAGCTCTTAATGCAGTTGACGATGGTCATGCTGGACTGCAGGTACCCTCTATTATCTTATCTGTCATACATCATGTATTTTATATATGCATGCGTTTAATTGCTTCTGCTTGGCCAATATTTCCAATGTAGCAACTTGCTGGAGATGCCACGCTCTTATTCTATGGCACTGAGGAAGGTAATGAGGGGAAGACAGCATATATGCAACGTAGACGTCCAGATTTCTCAAAGTTTCCCAGGAGACCTTAATATTGAGCACTTTCCTTGTCATGGTTTTATCATAACTTCGGATAGCTTGCTCATTTGACCCTTTTTGGATGGATGGTTAACTGTGTGAGAGGAGAACTGAAATCAATGCCCTCCCCCACCCCCACTTCCCCTCTTCTTTATGATTTATGGCTGATTTCAATTGTAAGTTACTTTGTCATATAATAAAAGGGGAGACAATATAGTTTTGAGTTTCTTCAACTCTCAAACGACTTCTAGCAAAAATGATTAAGAGTAGTTACTTGTGCACATGAGATTCTGGATTAAATCTCCCGAAATATCGCTCGTGTTAAAATACAATAAGATTCAATTTTTGCACTAAGTTTCTTACTTGAAAAAAAAAAATCATATATAACACCAAAAAAAAAAAACAGATAAAAATATATTTGTTGTTTCGTAGGGAGAGTGAATCGTATAAATCCATAGAAAGAAAATTTAAAAAAAAAAAAAAAAAGGTTCATGAACTTCGGAATTATTGAGTGAATCATTATGGGCTTTTGCCTGCCAGCTTAAAAAGGAAGCCCAGTCCAGTACGTTAACGACCCAAAACTCCTACCCGCTTCAAGCTGACGTGGTGGCCTCCTTTCTCCAATCGTCCTTCAGTCCTCTGCTCCCGCAAAGCAAAACTCCTTTCAGTTTGCATTGCTCTACGCGACCTTGATTCAGAAACTTCTAAATTACGTTATTGACCTAACTCTAACTCCTTTTTCTCGCCAATTCGAATCCCGAAACCCTAATTATGAGAAAACAAAGATCCTAAACCCTAGAAGAAATGAGCGGGAATGAGTTCCGTTTCTTTTTGTCCTGCGATATCAATCTCCCAGTAACCTTTCGGATCGAGAGGTTAGAAGGAACCTTGCGTGCGGCCAAGTCCCCTAGCTCTGGTACTTTCTATCTCAATTATCCGTTTGGCTCCCGAGAAACTGTATCATTCAATCATTACTCTTCAATTCAGTTTTCTTTCTGCACTGCAGATGTTGATCCCACTTCCACAACAGAGGAGAGAAGAGCAGAGCTGTATGTGGAGTGCGCGTTGTACATTGATGGTGCTCCGTTTGGCCTTCCCACTAGGACCAGGTTTTTCCCCTAAACTTGTTTCTTCTACTTCAATTATATCAATGCTGTTATTAGGGATTTTGAATTTTATTTCTTCTGTTAGGTTGGAATCTTCAGGACCATTATATTGTTGGAACGAGCTCATCACTCTGAGTACTAAGTATCGAGACTTAACTGGTCATTCACAACTTGCTTTAACAGTATGTTAGCTGTTTCACTTCACATTTTAAACAATTAGGGCCAGGGCTCAAGACCAATTATCAATTTTCTATAACATCTGGCATATTAATTAATAATTAGGTTTTTTCCCCTTTGGTTTCTCTACTTACTTCACTCATTGGAAATATAGGTTTGGGATGTTTCATGTGGGAAGGATGAAGGGTTGGTTGGTGGTGCCACGATTCTTCTGTTTAATAGCAAAAAGCAACTCAAAACAGGGAAGCAGAAGCTGAGACTTTGGCAAGGAAAAGTAGCAGATGGGTCATTTCCTACTTCTACTCCTGGAAAGGTTTCTGATTACTTCCTTTGCAGAAGTTATTGAAATGGGACTTAGCTTTTTTGCTTTGATGGTTTCTAAAATGGTTTACATTTTATCTTCCTGTAGGTTCCCAGGCATGAGCGTGGGGAGTTGGAACGTTTGGAGAAGCTTGTGAATAGGTATGAGAGGGGGCAGATCCAGTGTGTTGATTGGCTGGACCGCCTAGCTTTTAAAGCAATGGAGAGAATAAAGGAACGTGAAAGCTCTAGAAATGGAAGTTTGCATTTATACCTGGTTGTTGATTTCTGTAGTTTTGAGCATCGTGTTGTTTTCCAGGTAATCCAATCTGCAACAAGTCTTAAGTTATCAAAGTTACCTACTGGCTGATATTTAACTAGATCCATTTCGTTAGTTTTTTTTATAAGTCTAATATTATCTTACCAGTAATATGTTTTCTCATTAAGAGCGCCTTAGGTATTGACATTAATGTGCTTGTTATTATGTTGGTGGTATTTTTCTACTAGCTTAGGTTCCTAATTGATGGTTAATTTCCATAGCAGTAACCTTCATTTATTGGAATGTAGGAATCAGGGGCAAATTTCTTATTACCTTCCCCTATTGCTTCAACAAATGAAATTGTTACTGTCTGGGACCCAGAAGTAGGAAAGATAAATCCGTCAGAGCACAAGCAACTAAAACTTGCAAGGAGTTTAACCCGTGGTATCATTGACAGGGATCTTAAACCAAGCTCCAACGAGAGAAAGTAAGCTTGAAATTTACTCTGAAGATTCATATGTTGGCTAAATTTTTTTCATAATCTTTATGGTCACAATTACTTTCAAAATGCTCATGTACTGCTGATTAATGGACTGGAGTTGTGTTCTACTTTTATGGTATCCACTGTAAATATGCAGATGTGTCTCATTTGGTTTTTTTGTATTTAATGGCTGAATTATTTCTCATTTCATTTTTTGTCCACTTTTCTGTATGGTTTTTTTTATGATATAAAATTTCTTAAATTTATCCTTTAAAAAAAATTATCATTTCATTTTGTTGTCGTCTTATTGATGGACCAGTCTTCTTAATTTAGCCATATTTTTTTCCTTTCAACATCACTGCTCTATGTTCTTTTGATTGATTGATTTTCTAATAAGTTGGAGGTATATCATTTTTTGCCTGCCTTTTCCTGTAAGGTCAATACAAAGGATTTTAAAATACCCACCAACAAGGACTTTGAGTGGCGATGAGAGGCAGCTCCTGTGGAAATTTCGTTTCTCATTGATGTCTGAGAAGAGGGCCCTCACGAAGTTCCTCAGATGTGTTGAATGGAGTGATGTTCAGGTCTGCATTTCTATCTTCTCCCTCATGCTCAGCATCCTCCTTTCTTAACCATTAGTTTATGTGCCATAGTACTAGTGCTTCACAGTTTTATTTAATTTTTATAATAGTATATTTAGTACTTATTTTTCCAGCTTATTCTTTTGCTTATATATGACAAGGAGCTTGATATTTGATCCCAGGCCTTTGGTTTAACTCTGTTTCATCACCAGTAAGCTGCAGGCCAGCTGCCCCGCTTAGGATTATTGTAACTTTGGCAACGTGCATGGTGCTGCACTGAAATATCACCATGCACTGAAATATCAATAATTCAATTCTTTTTTACATAAGAAATTAGTTTCTATGTGGATCTTTTGTTGATATCTATAGTTGATGAATACCAGATTTAGTATTTTCCATGCCATCTTTTATTGATGAATACCAGATTTCAAGATCTCCATTTTCATTCGTTTGCAGGAAGCAAAACAAGCTTTAGAACTGATGGGGAAATGGGAAATGATTGATGTCTGTGATGCATTGGAGCTGCTATCTCCTGTTTTTGAAAGTGAAGAGGTGGGTGTGTGTGTGTAACATCTGAGCTGCTGTTACATGTCCTCTGTCACATAAAACTGATGCATGGAGGATTTCTTTTTACTTCCTACTCTTGTTAAAATCAAGTTTAAAATCCTGATAACTAGGACTTGAAGTTAACCACATCTATTGGTCTGCCACTGAGCTCCGTCCAGAGCCATATATGTATCTGATTATTGATTAGGCCAAATATGGGATTGTAAAGAAAGGAGAGAGTTGCATCTTGCATCTGTAGTTTAGGCACAAACTATAAAGTCCAAGCTTTCATTGCCATGCTAAGCAATAGGATATGATGTCTTAGATGAGTATAATTCTGTTGATCTGGGACCGAGTAACGCCTAACTTTAATACCTGCTACCAGGTTCGTGCATATGCTGTCAGTGTTCTTGAAAGAGCTGACGATGAAGAGCTTCAATGTTACTTACTTCAACTGGTTCAGGCTCTTCGGTTTGAGCGCTCTGATAAATCTCGCCTTTCTCATTTCCTTGTGCAACGTGGTATGTGGACAGATACTATCTTCATGTATATATGCACATGCACATACCTTCATCCTACTTGTAATGTTTTTCTTTGGAGTGTGTGCATGCATGTTCAAGTGCTACACACTTCAGTACTTCACAGTAGCAGGAGTTTAATTGTTCATGGCATCCTGATTGTATCTTTGACTCTGACAGCATTACGAAACATTGAGTTGGCTAGCTTTCTACGCTGGTATGTTGCTGTGGAACTTCATGATCCAGCATACGCCAAGCGTTTTTACTGTACCTACGAACTACTGGAAGAGAATATGATGAAGGTGAGAGTTTATAAACTTCTGTCATGGGGTCGCTTGTTGTGTCTGTTCTTCTTAGAGTATAAATCTGGATCCAATTCTTGAAGAAAGAGCAACAAAAATTGGTGCAACTTTGACACCTTAAAATAACATAAGCATTACTGTGGATTCTCCAACCATGAAAGGGAGTTTTTGGGATTGCCCATTTATTGGGCAGATATGATATTGCCTTTTTTAGATTCTTAATTGCTGAAGCCAGTAATGGAAAGGAACCCCACGCTAGAGGAGGGGAATTTTCTATAGAAGGCACATGGTTCTGTGCATTGACAAGCCACAAGAAAGGAAAGCAAGAATATTGCTAGACTTCTTTTCTTACAGATTATAATTGCGTTGCTATACCTATACATATATAGGATATGGGTCAATCTACACCAACCTTTACACTGACTCGAGAATTTTAAAAATCTATAAAATTATCCCATTCCTATCTTTTCCATATTTTATATTTATAGACACTCTCACCTAAAAGACAATAAAGATAGGAGTGAAATGATTTTTGTCTTATTTATTTATTTAAATTTTCATGTCAGAGTAAAGGTTGGTGTTGATTGACTTATATGATTCTTGGTTGTTTATGGATGAAGCAAAGCAATGTTCCACCATATTAAACTTGGTAATAAAATAATGGCTTCATGCTGGTGAAATTTTTCATTTGAATACTTGTCTCTGTAATTCAATAACCATATCCGCTTTATAACAGTTGGCAGCTGGAATGCATGGAGATGAAGATGGATTTAAATTGTGGCAAAGTTTGGTGCGCCAGACAGAATTGACTGCACAGTTGTGCTCAATTATGAGAGATGTAAGAAATGTACGTGGCAATACCCAGAAGAAGATTGAAAAGCTTAGACAGCTGCTTTCTGGTCTTCTTAGTGAACTTACGTATTTCGAAGAGGTACTACTTTGGTTAATGTTACTTGTCTACTGATCTTGTTTATCTATTAAACTATGAGTTCCATATAACCTCTCCAATTGTATCATTTCCTATGTTGACTGTGTTGGTCTATGACTTTTCTAGCCAATAAGATCACCACTGGCTCCAGGAGTCCTCATCACTGGGATTGTGCCATCTGAGTCATCAATATTCAAAAGTGCATTGCATCCTTTACGTTTGACTTTCCGAGCAGCAAATGGGGGAAATTGCAAAATCATCTTTAAGAAGGGGGATGATATTCGCCAAGATCAATTGGTAAGTATTCTCCTTCACACAAGCACGCTTGTGCGTGTGCACATGCACAGACATGAGAACCTGATTAAATGGATCTGTGGTTCCTGTAGGTTGTTCAAATGGTATATCTCATGGACCGATTGCTGAAATTGGAAAATCTTGATCTGCACTTAACTCCATATAGGGTTCTTGCGACTGGGCAAGATGAAGGAATGCTGGAATTCATACCATCCCGTTCATTAGCACAGGTATTAAGTCCTTTAAAGATGCCTCTTGGATGGGGATGTCTTCTCACTGCTTACAGTAATTGATGTCTTTGTTTTGTTGTATCTTGACTTGTTTACTAATTTTGACCACAACAATGTTAAACATGCTGTGTATTTTCTTTCAGTTTTGTTTCCAAATGAAATATTATCTTGATCATAGCCTGTAAAATTGTTATAATTGGTAAAATGTTCTCCTTTCCAGATTCTCTCAGAGCATAGAAGCATCACAAGCTACCTGCAGAAATTTCATCCAGATGAGCATGGACCGTTTGGCATTACTGCCACCTGTCTGGAAACATTTATAAAGAGCTGCGCTGGCTACTCTGTTATCACATATATACTGGGCATTGGAGACAGGTAAAGATTCAAAGATTATCATGTGCATTGAAACTATCTTGATCCCTAGTTTACTTTTCTAGTCCATGTGTTCAAAATATTCTTGTACTCTTGGAAGGAAACTTTGTGATGTTACAATATTATAGGAAAACCACCACACCTAAAAGAAAAGAAAAAGAAAACAATGGGTAAAGAGTTATGAGCATTATACAAGTTTGGAACATAGGATCATTTTCTTTGCTCAAGTTCTATATTTCTGCCATACGTCTAGTTAACCATTCTGAATCGGTTAATTGTACCAAATATTTGTACTGTGTATCTTTTTTTTAATTATTTGTTGGCCTGAAGCACTATATCTGCACCACGGCTGTTGATTGTGCATTCAGCATATTTTAACATTAGTCTTTTCTGTAGGCATCTTGACAACCTTCTCCTTAGAGATGATGGACGTCTTTTCCATGTTGATTTTGGCTTCATTCTTGGTCGTGATCCAAAGCCATTTCCACCACCAATGAAGCTATGCAAAGAAATGGTTGAGGCTATGGGTGGAGCTGAAAGGTACTTCACGATTAACTTCCTCTCTTCGATGCTTTTATTTTTTGTCGTGTTTGCTAGATGGAGTTGAATTTATGACATGAAATCCATATCATACGGGGTGCAACATTAGCATACAAGAATACAAAGGGTTGATTACATTTATTCCTTCTGCAGCCAGTACTATACCAGGTTCAAATCCTACTGTTGTGAAGCATACAACATTATTCGCAAATCTAGTAACCTAATCTTGAACCTGTTTCATCTAATGGCGGGTTCCAACATTCCTGACATAGCTTCGGATCCTGAAAAGGGCATCCTCAAGGTTCTTTTATGACTGTAATCTTATTTTTTCTTTTCAGTCTAAAAAAATCTGTCCTTTTGTTTTGATTGCGACTCTTTTGATATAATGTAGCTCCAGGAGAAGTTCCGGTTGGATTTGGACGATGAAGCCTGCATACATTTTTTCCAGGATTTAATCAATGAGAGTGTTAGTGCATTGTTTCCTCAAATGGTCGAGACCATTCATCGGTGGGCTCAATACTGGCGCTGATCCTCAAAATAAGTTGGGTGCCGTCTACATCTTTGAAATCTATCGGTAATTTCTACTTCTGTTCTCTCTGTTTTCGGTTGTTGCATTCTCTGCAAAAGAGTTCAGCTTATTTTGAACCTTGCTGCCCCTGATGCTGGAGTGGGTTTATTTTTTTTGGCTGATTTTACTGTGTGTGGCGCCCGTTCTGCATGTATGTCTGTATTTGAATTTTTCTGATGTGGAGCTACTTTTTTAAATGGACTCAATGGAAACCCTCTTTCATGTCGAGGACGTCATTAACATAAGAAATTCATACGAATAAGTTTTCGTTAAATAATATACATTTCAAATTCAGATCTCTTACTCTAGATGCATAAATCCATACACAATAAAATGAATTTACGTAAGTCATTTCATTTTTTTACAGGTCCAGATCTGAGAGCTCCATCAAGATGAAAGGGATATGCTTGAAACAGAGGAAGCAATATTGTGCATAGCTGTATATAAATTGTATTTTTCTTTCACCTTCTGGTGTAGGTTTGGTCAAAGAAAGACTCAAGATGCAGCATGTAACTTAAACGACTAACTTTATACCCCCAAAAAAATAAACTTAATTGAATACCTGTATATAAATTAATTGATTTCCTTTTATGCCCGTTTTAGTTGCCAAGTAGGATCAATTTGTAACGCGGTTAATATGGTTGCAAGTATTAACACAAAGGAGAAAAATTATGTTCATAAGTGAAAAATATTGTAGAAATACAGATATCAAATATAAATTCGGATGAAAAGGTAAAGAATATTTTTTTGAAAAAAAAGAACTTGAACTGCATGTCGTTTGATGCGCATAGTTTATTTAATTTTAGCTGCACGTTCAATTCTGTGCCTTTCAAAATTGAAAATTGACTTTGAATTTGAACCACCAGCGACGCTTTTTCTTTTATTTATCAAAATTTAAATATTTGTCGGAACAATAAAATCCGTTTGGTTTGGTGGTGGTGGTGACTGCTTTGCATTAAATCCTACGGAGCATTTATAAAAAAAAATAAATTAAAATCCTACGGAACATTGTTAACATTGGGGGTGGGGTGATGAGTCCGGATCTGCCGTCGTTCAAAATCATGCAAGAAAATAATATTCATGACTTGGCGGTTGCTGATTGGGCAGGCTATATCACCCGCAGGCTTAACATTTACGCTGTATATCAGGGGCATTTTCGTAGTTTACTCCAAGTACAGAAAATAGTCTTGGAGTTTATAAACCCCTTAGTTGACGATCCTCACCTCCACATTCACGCGTTGATTTAAAGCTTCTCTCCCCTCCGCTCTCTCCCTCCCTCGATCTCCATCTTTAACTAAGATCCCTCCGCGAAAGCTCATCGAAGGTAAAATTCAAGTCTCAGATCTCGACCTCTCTTCTCTTGCGCTTCAACAATTCTCTGAATTTTCTCGCATTTGATTCATTCTCGGTTCGATTTCACAACTTTTTCGTGCAATTTTTGTTTTGAATTTCGCGCTACTTTTTTCGATTCTGGTCCAATTTAATGTTTATTTCGTATATGCCTGAATTCCGTTTAGTTTGTTTTACTCTGATCCGAAGATCATGTGTTTTAATCATTTGGATCTCTATGATTATGCTCGAATTTGCTAATGCTACTTTTGGTGGTTCAATTACAATGCATGAGGAGCTCTCATGGATTTTCTGCATCTCTATGGTGTTAGCTTAGACTTTGTCTCCAGATCCGCTCGATCTGTTGCTGCATGCGCATAATTGCTAGTTTGAGTGCTCCTTTGCCTAGTTTTGAGTTAGATTTGATTAGATGATATCAACTGCAATCGTTTGGCTTCAGAGCGTTATTCCTTTGTCTTTATCAGTGTTTGATCTGTTGGTGCAAATGAATTGGTGCCTCTCAATGTGTAGGGATCCACAGCCAGAATGGGGCTTACATTCACGAAGCTTTTCAGTCGGCTTTTTGCCAAGAAAGAGATGCGAATTCTGATGGTTGGTCTTGATGCTGCTGGTAAGACCACCATCCTCTACAAGCTCAAGCTCGGTGAGATCGTCACAACAATTCCCACCATTGGTGAGTTCTTTCTTCCTCGACCGAGGCAATTCTGTGCTCATTCTTGTTATACTTCATAGAATTCTGCATATGAAGATCTGATGGAAATGAAATTGATATGGCTTAACTATGACGTGATGGAAATGAAATTGTCAGACGAAATTGCAAAATACTGACGTGTATATTCTAATTATGTTAAATGTAGCTTGAGATCTGAAAGTAGAATGTTGTTCCTTACATGATTTAATAGCAATGGTGATGATGATCGTGCCTGTTTGTTGTACCCTAAATCATCTTGAAGTTCAATGAGTTTGCAACTAAGATTATCTTCCACAACTTAACTGTTATTGAAGTTTTCCCCTCTCTTTTTTGGGAAGAATGAATGCAAATATAAATATTTTGGTCAAAACCTAAGGGGGCACATAATTTTTCTTCCCTATCCCCTGTTTGCTTTCAGTTTGAAGATTCTCCTGTTCCTTTATAAAGTTCATTAAATATGCAATTTTAGGATTAAGAAAACAATACTTGATTGACAGGGTTTAATGTGGAGACCGTGGAGTACAAGAACATCAGCTTCACAGTCTGGGATGTCGGGGGTCAGGACAAGGTATGGAGTTTAGTTCTTGTTTCCATGATGTACAGTTATTAAAAGAAGTTTAAAGTGATGATTTCAGAGTTTGTTAATACTTTATTTTTATTTAAGTATGGCTTTAAAAGATTTGACCTTTGTGGATTAAAACCCTTTCTTTACTTTCAGATCCGACCTTTGTGGAGGCATTACTTCCAGAACACACAGGGTCTTATCTTTGTTGTGGATAGCAATGACAGAGACCGTGTTGTTGAGGCAAGGGATGAATTGCATAGGATGTTGAATGAGGTATGTCAATGTTAGGTCTTCTACAAAATAGAGATGATAAAGATCCACCTATATTTCTGTTGTTGGAGCTGATCAGCCAGTGGCTTAAGTGGCAGCGTGCTTTGCAATTTGGTGGTGTGCTATTGATGCGTGTTGGATCTCTGCAAAGTAGTCATTGAATTTTCTTTCAAAATGAACTTGTTAGCGAGGAAACTAACTGCTTATTCTATAGACATGGCTAATCTTCTATGCTGTGTTGGCTTTGTATTGAGCAATTTAATTCTTATGAATTTGAAGGCTGAATCTTTTGTTCCTGTTACCTGCCCCCATTTCACTTTCCAGGATTTATCTGATTGATGTTGTAGACATTGGGATAATTTATATTCTGTTCCATATTTTAGCTTAATTTGAATAATCCGGTTTCAGGATGAGCTGCGAGATGCTGTGTTGCTTGTATTTGCTAACAAACAAGATCTTCCCAATGCAATGAATGCTGCTGAAATTACTGATAAGCTTGGCCTCCACTCTCTCAGACAGCGTCACTGGTAATCTTTATGAGCTTCATTTCCCTTGTGTGATTCATTTTTATAACATTTATATAAGTCTAATATGGATTGTGTGGTTTTTCAGGTACATCCAGAGCACTTGTGCAACCTCTGGAGAGGGTCTATATGAGGGGCTGGATTGGCTCTCCAACAACATTGCTAACAAGGTAAACTATTTTCTATTTCACTGTTTTTTAAAATTTTGAGCATCATGGCAGCCTTTGATGTTGTTGTCTGACTTGGATGACGGTCAAATTCTAAGTTTGAAAGTTGCACATAACAGTTCTCTTTGTGGAAATTCAAATAAGTAGTTAATTATTGTTTGGAACTTTGTGAGATACGACTTCTCCTTCTGATTTCTTATATTCCTTTTAATTGCAGGCGTGATCCTATTGGGGAGTCATTTTGTGGACTGGAAATTCTGGATGCAGGGGTGAATATTATCTAGTTCTTTTTTTTTCTGAGACAAGACGATCGAATTGTTGTTAAATCATCTATTTCTTCCTTCTTCTGGGAGTGGTCTTTTTCATTTAGGACGTTTTAATGGTTATATTGTGATAGAAAGAATGGTTGGTCAAATGTATACATTTGAGCTTTTGGTTGGATTTTGGATACAGTTCGGAGTTGTAATTGGATTTCAATAGATGCCTCCTTCCTTTTTTTATTTTTTATTTTTTCAAAACTGCTCTGAGTTGTAATTGGTTTTGGTTGGATTTTGGATACATGTTTCAAATGTATACATATTGCCGAGTAATGCAGAACCACACTTGAATTGAAGGAGTTGCTTATTAATTGAGGTCCCATGTTTTGGTTCGTTTGGTTTGGGACCCTCCAGAGGAGAAGGGAGACCTCACACTCATAATAAAAATCCCATTTTTGTTCCACTTGGAGATGATAGATAGGTGAAGGTTGTACACAAATATCCCCACATAACAACAATGTTTGTGTTTTTTTGGTTAATTAGTGGATCCAGGTTATGGGGTAAAGCCTAGAGAATTAAGAATTAAGAATTGGGTGGGCAGGGCAGTTTTCCTTCACTCATTTTTGGGCAGTCAAAAAAGTTGAAGGCGCATGCTATGCTTGTCCATGGAACTTTATATTTGGAGACTAAGAACATGAGAAAAATTTGTGTCAAGAGTCGGCTCAAACCATATAGATTGGAATCGAACCAAATCTAAACCGGTTTGAGTTGGTCTAGTTCTTTCAATTATTTTAGTGAAAATCCTAATCGGATCAGACTGAATGAACAATTGATTTCGATTATGGTTTTAAGTGAGAACCGGGCCTAATCGGACCATGTCTAGCCTTAATAAAACGGAGATAGCACTTTTTTGCTATTCCTCCCAAGTGGAAAAGTTATTACGCATGACGTGTCGTGATTGACCGGAGATAACAAAACAGTGTAGGCCAAATTAAAGCTCAACTTGTAGGCCAAATTAACTCATAATAAAGAGAACCCTCTGCCAACGAGGATTAGTCCAGTTGGTAAGGTCCTTGCATTGTGTATAGCCCCATTAGTGTTCGAGTCTCGCTGCCAGCAGTTCTCGTTGGTGCGTGATTTGTAATTTTCTACATAAATCCATATTGGTGACAACTGGCAGTTGGGTGCCACGCATAATTCTTTCTGGCTTGAGATTATGGGTCTGCCCTGGTGCTGGTAGTGAGTGAAAGTAGCCAATCTCCTCTTAAACTTTAGTTCATAAAAAAAGAAAAAAGAAAAAAAAAGAGCCCCCTACTCTTGCTCTGCCATGCCATTTAACTTGCATTGCATGTTTATTTGAAGATTGATCAAGATTGTTGAGCAAGTACGTTTGATCCAAGCATTTTCCTTTCTCTTTTTCTTTTTCTCTCTCTCTTTCTCTTTCTCTTTCTCTGTTTGTCCTTCCAGTCATGGTAGGCCCAATTGCGTATTCTGCTTAATTCATGGAGACATGCTTCCACTTTGGGGTTTCAGGACTGGTGTGTGCATATTAAGCTTATAATAATAAAAGTAATATCAAGTGACAAATATGAATATATTACCAAGTTTTAATATCTACTTTTGGACCAAGTTTTAATACCTACTTGGAATCATATGATTGCTCAGCGACTACAGTAGTTTATGTTTCTTTTTTCTTTCTTAGTGCATGGTTATCCATAGATATTTTCAGATTCAGATGATATATTGTAATGTAATAAAAGGGACAGATATTTCTATTAGATAATGTTAATTAATTAAATTATAGTACTACCGACTTAATTGATCTTTTCTTTTACATTCATCTTAAGGGGACTAGTTCACCTTTTTATTGTATTTCATTCAACATTGAAAGAAAAAACTAATGGGGTGTTAATTCGATTGGCCCGTATCTTTCGTGTACTTCCAAGTTGTCTTGGATTCAAACCTCCACTACACCTGTGTATGTGAGTTCCTCCCCTCTCCCCTCCTTAACTCTGACCCAAAAAAAATATTGCAATGCCTTTTCTATTATTTATTTATTATTTATAATGTTCATGTGACAAGCAAATGTTGCTTTCTTAGAGCATTTCTAAGAGAGATGTCAATTGCAAAAATGTTAAATTTGAATTTGATAGCTTATGTGGCAATTTGATATTTTGGAAAAAATTTAACTCTCACCCAAAATGTCAAATATCAGATTATTTTATTATATTTTTAAAAACAAATGGAGCCCAAATGATGCATAATTTTTTTAAAGAGAATAAAATGATAGTGGGGTCCATGACTAAAAAATTATTAAAATGATATTTGACATCAAGCTTTTTGATATGTTATTTTTGACATATCTCTTCCGGCTTTCAAATCTATGTAAGATTTGGCTACTCGATTTGAGCAACTTTAACCTTCAATTTTTGTCATTTTATGTCCATGTGGCAATTTAAAATATCAGTTGGAGATGCTCTTAAAACGTTATTCATATTTTATATATTGGAGACCTTTTTTTTTTTTTTTTTCAACATTAGCTTTAGCCAACCATTTTATATTTATTTTAAAATCCATTTTACTCTTTGGTTCTTTTGACCACACTTACATCTGTTGAAATATTGCCGTTAAACATTCTTCTAGATTGAAGTATTACTTTCCTTTCAAGAAACGTATGTATGTGAGAAATGCCATGGCAAACAAAATTTTGCTGAGTGCTGGTGTCTGCAGTAAAAGCCCAAAAGAAAAAGGAGAAACTTAAAGAAGTTCATCAAAATGATAAAGCTAACAATTAAAGAAGTTCATCAAATTGATAAACCTAATTTAAAATTTGGTTAAATTTATGGACAAAATATATTTGGGTTTTAGTGAACCAATCGCCTTCAAAACGACTAAGAATCTTGTTATATTATTGTCCTAAGCAATCTTGTTATTTTCTTTTATTTTGTTTTTGTTATAAATAATGCCGTTTGCGGATTGGTATGTAGAAGAATATACTTAGGTCAATTAGCACTACTCTTCCCAATGATTAAGTTAATCAATCTTTGTTAATCTTGTTAATCATACATTCATCAACGTGTTTTATTGGCATTCTAAGTTACTGAAATTCTATGATGTTTGTGTTCCACCAAAAGAAAGCATGATGTATTAATCATGTCTTAAATGTTTCACCTTAAACAAAAGAAAAATCTAGAATAGTTTGGGTTAATGAATAAGCTTTGGCCATTGACCATGACTCTCTGCTGGATTTGCATCTCATGTTTCAAATTAGTGGATGTTAAAAGAAACCGCTGACTGAAAAACCCCCCTAAATCCGGTCGACCTCAAAATTCACTTCCATATCAAAGGTCCCACTTCAACCGACTGCTCCACCCCATTGATGCTAACTTTCTTAAACATATCTTTTCCACCAAGGAAAATGACTCCCACTTGATCATCATACCTACATTTTCTTAATAGCAATTCATCAAATGATGTGCTTGTGTACGTGTCAAAATCTTACTCGTTAAAAATAAATGAAGTTAGAGTAGAGTCAGATTTGAATAAACGATATCAGTCGACAAGTAAAATATAGTGAAAACACTTGGTGTGTGTATGAAAGCTTCCATATTTCTATTGACCATGACACTAAATAACTCCCATTGTATCTCAGCGATCCATCTTGATTCTTGATGATAAGGCTATATAGATGAATGGTAGGTTGAACACCAGACCTTGTTCATTCATTTCTTTTCTTGTTTTATTTATTTATTCATTTCTCCAATACCATCCTAAACTCCAATAAAGCATTAATTAAAAAAACAAAATAGGGCCATGCTTTGCATTTGAGTTTCATTTGGGGTTTCATATTACATGCATTTAGTGCTCATTTGATGTCTATTTAAGACATCCAAAGGGTGGAATGCACAACTCAGGAACAAAAGGTTTGTAGGTGGCTTCCTCAGTGTAGCTAATTTACTTTCCCCACACTCCTCAACGCACCAAATCTTGTTTTCCATCAAACCACCACCCTAAAACTTTTCTAATCACCCCAAAATCTTATAAGCAGACACAAAATCTAGGCAATGGCCCCCCCGGAAGTTCCAGTAGATGTGTACCAGGCCACAAGCAAAGTCTCAACGCTAAGTTCTGCAGCCTATTCTAAGGGGGCCTTTGTGACGTTTTTAGCCGGCAATGGCGATTATGTAAAAGGGGTTGTGGGATTGGCTAAGGGTCTGCGCAAAGTGAAGAGTGCGCACCCTCTTGTGGTTGCCATATTGCCTGACGTCCCTGAGGAGCACCGTGAGATCTTAAGGTCTCAGGGTTGTATTGTCCGTGAGATCGAACCAATTTATCCTCCGGAGAACCAAATCAAGTTTGCAATGGCCTACTATGTCATCAACTACTCCAAGCTCCGTATTTGGAATGTAAGTACATACAAGATTACCTCTACTTCGCGTCTATGTTTTTCACGTAGCGATATCTGATATGTTATGTTGTTAGACTATCGATCCGATAAATCTTATGATTGCAATATTATATGTACAGTTTGAGGAGTACAGCAAAATGATATATTTGGACGCGGATATCCAAGTGTATGAGAACATAGATCATCTGTTTGACACGCCTGATGGCTACTTCTATGCTGTGATGGACTGCTTCTGTGAGAAAACATGGAGCCACTCATCACAATACAAAGTTGGGTATTGCCAGCAGTGCCCTGATAAGGTTTCATGGCCTGCTGAGTTGGGCTCCCCTCCTCCTCTCTACTTCAACGCCGGGATGTTCGTGTTCGAGCCTAGCCGGTTGACCTATGACAGCCTTCTCCAGACTCTCCAAATCGTCCCACCCACCCCTTTTGCGGAGCAAGTAAGTTACATTAGATCAAGTACATATATATGCGATGTGTGATAAATATGAATCTTGTTTTTGTAATTAATGAATTTTTTTTGTTTCTCATTTTTGACAGGACTTCTTGAACATGTTCTTCCAAAAGACATACAAACCAATCCCACTTGTATACAATCTAGTTCTAGCCATGCTTTGGCGCCACCCCGAGAACGTGGAGCTTGATAAAGTAAACGTGGTTCACTACTGTGCTGCTGTAAGTACTCTTTTAACAGATTGATTAAGCACACCATGACACATAATTAGTCCCTCATTAATTAACTCAATCTTGTTAATCTGTACGACTAATTATAGGGATCAAAACCGTGGAGGTATACTGGGAAGGAAGCTAACATGGACAGAGAGGACATCAAGATGTTAGTGGCCAAATGGTGGGAAGTTTATAATGATGAGACCCTGGACTTCAAGGCTGAAAACCCAGCTGATGCAGAGGAAGAAGCTTTCGCGAGGTCATCGATCATGGCTTCCA